GGTTTTCAAGAAAAATTTGACCTGAATGTTTTCTGTATTCTGAAGAACAATAAAATTAGCTTTTTTATTTATGAAGACACACTGAATGCAGAGAGATATCCCCAAATATTAAGGACGACTGTAACCAATTTTCTTGAAAATTTGCCTTTAGAGTAATATAGGAATATAGCTCATTTCACCCATGAAGTTTCCAGGAAACTTGACGAACTCTTCGACGATCGTTGGTTTAGGCGTTTAGGGCCGTGGGATTGGCCACCGAGATCACTCGATCTCACGACACTTGACTTTTTTATGGAATGTTTTAAAAGAAAGGGTATACAGTACTCTAGTGCCTACCAAAGAAGAATTGCGACGGCGAATAGTGCGGAGTATTGAAGATCTGGATCCCCAGGAAATTGAAAAAGCAACCACAAGTCGCGTACAAAGAAACATTTTAAAGTGTTTAGAATGTAATGGACAACATTTTCAGCATTTATTGTGAAAATGTGATATTTTGTTTTCAATTTTGTTATTTTGAATCATCCCATTCTGTTATTGTCTGTACTTTTTACCTAGAAATGACTGATTTTTGGTACAGTTGTTACCAGGAAACTTTGAACCATAGTTAAGGAAATTATTTTGTAACCTTACAAACTTCCTCTCGTTCATTGGTGTTAATTCAGGATACATTCGGTTGAATTTTTTACCTAAATCCAAATTCTCTATTGAGAAAACTTGACGATTTAGGTATAGGGACATGATCATCTTGAAGCATTTTTCACCATCTTTCAATTTACCGATTAATATACAGGGGGTTTCATTTGCACAATCTGAATAATAGTAATTTTAGCACGCCCTGTATGATATGGAGTAGATTTCTTGGTGTTATTTGAATATTTCGAGTTTGTCCAAATTATCATCAAAATATCAATTTTTCATGAATTGAGAGTACTGATGTACTTAATTTCTGGGGTGATGCGGAGTCCCAAGGAGACCGAGTTTCATGCTTGAATCGCTACGATACTCGTTCCATCCTGCGTCGATGACGTCACACGGTTCTCTCTTCCATTCACTAAAGTTTCTCTCTGAAATACTTACCAGCGACGCTCGACCTTGAAGTGGGCTCGTTTCCGCCTTGTTCATCTACTAAGTTAAATTTTATTATTCAGTGTAATCAATTATTGGTCATCACACGGGAAAAAACGTGACAATATCGACTTTATTTTTAATGAACTATCCAAACATAGTTTGGTTATTTGGAAATTCAGAAATTTTGTCCCCATTGTTATTTTATTAGGCTACTACTCAAGTAGCCTAATATATCAGTCTAATGCGACTGATATAAAAAATAGCATTAAAAATATTCTCTACAAAAATACCTTTTACTCACTAGATGAATATTTTCAAACTGATCTGGCTGCTTGACATTATTATTGTTTGCTTGTTTACTATTCTACTGTTTATACTATTTTTTTTTCACATCTATATTCCATATTTCATCAGTTCATTTTTTTATCTGCTACTTTTATATGTTGTATGTGACGATTTCCTGGATTGTAAAAAATCTCAGAAGAATAAAGTATTGATTGATTGATTTATTGGTTTAAGTAGGACAATCCTATTAAAAAGTGTTCTGAATTCCTACCATGATGTTATATCATCCCAGAAAAAATCACGAAAATCCGTGAGTATCCCAATGAGCAATATTTTATTTTTTTTCACAAATAACATTTTAAATATCGAAATTTTCAGAGAGAAAAGGTAACCAAAAAAGACAACCAGTTGACAGATAAACATGCGCAACTAGCCACCAACATTTCAACAAATGCGCTCATCAATATTTTTCAATATTCTATTCAACCATGTCAGTTGTGTGATTATTGAAGAACATAATTCTTGGTTGGTAGAGAATTTTCTGATCCCAATAGTGAAATTTGGCAATAAGTGAATGAAAAGGGATAGAAAAAGGTGCGATGATATAGAAAAAGGTGTGTTAATAAAAAAGTATGTGATTTGCAATTGCTTTGAGCTAAAATATATCTCGAAAACTAATTGAGTCCGTATAGGATATAGGCTTTCACGTCCGACTAAAAATGAAAAGTGTTCTGAATTACTATCATCACGTAGGTAGAATCATCCAAAAAAAACCGCGAAAATCCGTGAATATCTCATAATTTACAATTTAGCCTGTAGTTGAAACCTAAAAAAGTTTTTCGAGAGGCTACTTACAATAATCAGCTGGAACCGACCCAGGATCGTTCGAACTGCGAACCCGATAATATATCTCAAATTTATTAACTAATTGTCAAGTTGACATTTATCGATTCTTATTCTCGAAAAAATACCATTTATTGATACTTTGTATATTGATACCTTGGTATCGTACTTCACGGAGCATTATGATGGAAATAGAAAAACTCGTTAGAAGAAGAGGTTCAGTCAAGACAAAATAGCAACTTTTAGGAATAATCTAACTTATTAAGAGTCACATTTTTCTGACAAAGTCATTTCTAATCAAAACGTAGTATTTAAACGTCGCAGACTGTGTATGTATGTGGACATTCAAATTCAAATTGATGAATTTTGTGATAATTCCGAAAGCCAATTGTCTGAATAAGAAACATTTGAATTTTATGCAGTCTAAAATGTTTCTTGGCAAAAGCATATCTGAACATATCCGTGGTGGGAGTTCGTTAAATATTAAATACTAGTGGTAAAACGCAGATATTATGATTTCTTGTACAGCGGTCAATTTACAAGTAAGTAACGAAACACAATCGTATGTTGAAGGAAAAGTGGTACTTCAAGTTCAGTCTCAGATCAACAATTTTTCATTATTGGTATCTTGTTTAATCGTACCATCCATTACTAGTAATTTACCAGGTTTCATAATTATCAAACTGAATTTTCAAAGTTTATTTCTCCTGAAGAGACATTTTGAAGGGATCATTTTGTAAAAACAGTAAAACGCGATGAAATAGGACATTTTGTAGTAACGATACCGTTGGAGGATTCTGAGTTCCGCAGATTTCCATTTGACTAGGGAGTCAAAGAAAATACAAAAACCCTTGAAATAATATGGAATGGGCAAAAATTTTGTTGAAAGTTCCAGAGAAAGCTATGGAAACATAGATCAAATCTCATTCAAGTAGTCTTATTACTATCAATTCAGTCCGGGGTCCGTAAGGGCTATAGCTGTACCTACGACAGCACTTCTCCACATCACCAATGATATTCTAAGAGCTACTGGTCAAGGTCAGTGCACACTGCTATTTTTGCTCGATTGTTCTTTCGACACAATTCATCACGATTTGTTACTAAACATCTATCCTCAACATCTAACCTGACCTTCGAATTCTAAAACGAACATATTCTCGAATATTCAATTTGTAAAAAACTATCTATCCTCTACATCTAACCTAGCATTATATAGGTTTTTCAGAAAATACACGAGTGTTAATAGGCAATTACCCCAAGAATAGGCAGCAGAAAGTTGTTCTCGAAGATAAGAGTCTCTGAATATTCAATACTCAAGTCAGGTGTCCCGCAGGGATCTAAACTAGGGCCTCTTCTGTTTTCTATATACTCCTCCCAGCTGTTGACTGAAATAAAAGCCTGCAATATTCATTTATACGCTAATGGTACC